GGAGGCTAGAGGCAGGCAGACTTTTGTTGTTTAGTTTCTTTGATGTATTACATGTATATTCAAGCCAAGGGCTTAATGTGTAAATGAGTTAGTACTCTTTTGTTGTAACCAAGTGTTAACTTGGAAAGCTGTAAGCCTTTAGGGCATTTGCTTTTGTCGTTAACATGTAATACTTTTTGGTAATGGAACTCTGATGAATAGAAGAATGTGGAGCTTTTATATATCTACGCATGTCTATATTGATGGGTTTAATGTTATTATTTTGAGGGCGTTACATAATAGCTTTAAAATAAAACAAAAGAAAGCTATAATATCTATACATCAAGTCTGTAGAATGGAGCAAGGCAGGTGCAACCTCATGTTCCTTATCTATACTTCTCAACATTGAACATAAATTCAGACTAAAGCAAGCTTTGAGCAGAATTTTAGAGTTTTGTACTCATAATTTGCTACTTTTAAGCATGATTCTTATCTAAATTCAATCTGAAAAGTGTGACTTTTAACCATTATTGTAGTAGTGACTCTATTGAAATGTTTTATACATATGGATATCCTATGCTATCTGTGTTTGGAAAAGTATATAAATGACATCCTTAGTTAGTCCCATGTACTAGGGGACAACAAACTTACTAATACCTCATAAGAATGAGATCTTCTTTGCCTCTCGTGTGTGTAGTATTGGGTTTTCATGCCCCTCATTTATTCAATCTCATAGTGATATAGTTGTATAGTAGAGTAGGTTATATACACAAAAACAGAGTTCTAGCCATGGTTACATCCTTTTGGAGTTGTATAAAAAAAAAATTAAGAACGAAATTCTATAGCCAACAACATTTTCATGAAAACCATGAAGAGTGTGACACCTCTCATGCCACCTGACAACCAAACTAAACAATAATGGCTTGAAGCAACCCAATTAGAGGCATAACCACAACAAACAACCATGGTCTGAACCAACCCAAAGAGGCACAACCTCCACCAATGTGAAAAATGATTAGCAAATACACTATGGTGGTATTCTAAGATTTCATTTTCTTGGTGTTCTCAATGTTGGTATTGATACATATCTTTGCTAATATTTTAAAAAAAAAAATGGCAACTAAATTATTATATATACATGGAATTTAATTAAAAATAATCTCTCTTTATCTCATTTCTTTCTACTAGCATTATACTATTTAGCTTCTAATGAATTCAGGCACATTCTTAAGTTGAAAACAATTACAAGTAATCTCACTTTTTAGTTAAATAAGCTAAAAAAAATCAAATAATCTAGAATCTAGAATTGTAGTCAAACACCATCATTTGACCTTTTTTTTAATCCAATAATAACACTAAACCCAAAGATTTATTTATAAAAAAACAAAATTCAAACCCATTAAGAAATGAATTGAACAAATACAAATTCTATTATATATTAAAATTAAGAATTCTATTAATACAAATTCTTTTAATCAATTGGGCTCTACCAGCATACGACAACACTTTATTAGCTCACGATTGAATCCTCTTAGTAATCCTAGCAACCAATTGATCAGAATCTATTTTACACAACTTAGTAGAGACAAGAGGAACCCCCAAATACCTCATAGGAAGCTTCCCATCTTTAAAATCCATAATAGAAAGCAACTCACCTCTCAAGTGACAGTCCATATTCCAGCAAAGAACATACGACTCTTAGGATGAAAGATCTTATGGGACTCTATTTATGAAAAATCTTATTCATTCATATACATTTTGTGTCAAATTGTACAAAATTGATATCTGTGTTGCAGATTTATTCATAATTATGTATGCGCATGACTAAAAGGAAGATAGATATCTAGAGGAAGCAATAAAAGCTTTATTTTTGATATAATCTGAAATCTAATTCCAATGAGATGCAAAAAATGTAGACCAACTAAACTAACCTCAGCTGATCAAGAAACAAATGATGCCATATTACTTTCGTGACCATCAAAAATCAACCAGCCCTAGGAATTGATCTTGAACCCCAACAAATTAGGGCCTTCTAGATGACTATTTAAACCCTTCATCAATCATTTTTTGGTTTTAAAATTTTAGCTGACAAAGCAGAGAACTCATCATCGGTTGTGAGAGTGGATTGTCATATATATAACTCATCATCTGATCGCCTTATGTAGAACTCATCGAGGGTTTGAATTAGGGTTTCGGTTTAGAAGGGTTTCAAAGGGTAGATCGAGATGGAGAGAGATAGTGAGGCAGAGATTGAGAGCGAAGGAGAGATAGAGATAGAGATAGAGATAGAGAGATGGTGAGATAGAGATGGAGCACTCCAACTGGGACTGATCTTTGCCAGATGTCGGAGGTAACGGTTTGGCTAGAAAGAGGGTTGGGGTTAGAGAAGCGGGCGGTGGAGAATCTAGGGTTTGTGGTTGTAGTGATGGTCGTTCTGGAGAAGAAACAAAGAAAAAATGATGGAGAGAGAGAGAGAGAGAGAGAGAG